GGATACCATGTCCTCATCTTGTACAGCAATTAACCACTAGGAAGAATGTATGCAATGTGTTAATTATTGAAACTGTCCTACCAATTTGATTTGAAACTGTAAGAAATAAAAATAAAAATAAAAATGTAATCTTCAGCAATCATTGATTTTGATGGTAATATATGTTGGAAAAGGGGCAGTAGACAGATGTTTGAGAGCTAAATATTTGCCTGTGTCCAGTAAACATAAAAGGAAAGACAGATCAATAAATAACTACATAGGCAAATTTCTAAGAAATCTTGTGGTTAAAAAAAAAAAAGAGTTGCTTCTGGTGAGCAAAAGTGGAGGTTGAAGAGTGAGCAGGAGGGCACTGCTATTTCTCATAATAATAATAATAAGCCTTGGGTTAATATTTGATTTTTTAAAAACTGTGTATGAATTAGTTTTAAACAAATATTAAATTAATTGTGTGGTTATTTTCATGGATAGAGATGGAACAGTTCACTTAGGGGTACTTCCCTTACATGTTTTATTTTGCTAGTCCAGCATGTACCCTTCCTTCTGTTCTGTAGTTTTCCTTCTCCCCGCTCTATGTATCAGTCACTTTCCTGTCACTGGACACAAAAGTGAACACTCACAACCTGAAAAAGAATAGGTGTTTAGAGTGCTCAGTCCATGGTCAGGTGCTTCCAGGATAAAACACAGCATGCTAGAAGGACCCGGGAAGAAGCTGCCCAACACCACAGCCAGGAAACAGTGGGAAGAGGGAAGATCCAGGGACAAAAATAAACCCTTCCTGGCTTACACCCCAGGGACCCACCTCAAACCAGGCTTCACCTCCCAACAGCAAGCCAGCCACAGTGCCCTCCTGCCCCAATCACCTTCCAAAAGCCATGCTTCTAGACACATGAGCCTTCTGGAACATTCTTGACCTAAAGCGTGACACTCCCTTGAGTCCTTACAGCCTGGGAAACCTCAATTTTAGCAGTGGCTTGCGACTCAGGTTTAGTTCAACCCAGGCCCTGGGCTTTGGTCAGAAACATTTTACTTCTAGAGACAAGATCAAGGCCCCATATGGACTAATGATCATTGTACCAAAGTTTTGTGGAAACACTGAAGGAAAGACAGGGCCTTGCCTGGAGCAGCTGGCAGCCATCTTGTCTCCAAGAGAGACAGGAAACGGGCTGAGTGGACGCACACTGCACAGATGAGAGACACAACTTGGCTGTGAAACCTGTGTGAGGCCCTGATTCCGTACGTGCCTGCAGTTCTGGGACTCTGACCTTCTCAAAATCACAAGATGCTGTTTTATGTCTTGGGAAGGCATTGTACCATCTAGGCTAAACTGCAGCTTTGCTGTGTACTGACTGTGACCCAAGGCATGTTATTAACCTCTTCTGCCTTTATAGAATGGGGGTAGAAAGAGCTCCTATCTCAAAAAATGAAACAAGGGAATATATATGATACACACATATATGCATATGTTTACACAGGTAAAAATACAGACCTACAGGCTAATATATGTAATATAATTATATTTAACATAAATATAGATGTGTAAATTAATATATAATACATAATATACATATATTAAAATGCATTTAAGTTTATACATGCAAGAGCCAAATATGTTATCAGCTAATTCAGTCAAGTTTCTTTTTTCTCAAGTTTTCGACACTTGTAGGGTCCTGACTTTTTCACCACTCCACTCAAAGAGAAAAGCCATACAAAACCAACCAACAAACTTAAGCAAATACACAGAAAAGACAAACATTTTCTTTATTAAGAAAAATTTCAAAAAAAAAAGAAAAATTATTTTACAAAGTAAGTAGGAAAGGGGGAAAAATGTTTATAATCTTTAACACTGATGAAGTGTTTGCATTCACAGACAAGAAGATTGGAGACAATATAGAGAAAGGGCAAAACATACACAGGATTCATGAATGAAAAAAAAATAAGAATGCAAAAGTATCTATTATTCTCCAAAATCAAAAGCAATGATTCAGGAACTAATTTTTCTAATGATATACCTAACGATTGCTTTAAATTTTATTATCTAGAGTTGGCAAATGTCTCATTGATGGCTGGGAAGCATGGAAATTCGTGCACCTTCCTAGAAAGCAATCGAGCACTAATAAATGTAAGCATTCCTGTGACCAATAATGCTCCTTCTAGGAATTGGCCTCAGGATATAACTGAGGGTGTGTGCAGACATTCCTCCTGTGAGTCTGCTCACTGACTTGGGTTTTTATAGAGAAATACCGGACAATGAATAGTCAAGAAATGGGGACTCATTAAAATCTACACATTCCAACAGAATTGAGTCATTTTAAAAAGTGTTGTAACAAGATGTACATAAAAGTCTCTTCATGGTTATTAAATGAGATAAATAGATGACAAAAAAACACTACAAAAACTTGTTTTGGTTGCATAAATATTTACAAATACATAGGGGAGATATACTGGAATATTCATGAGGTGAGAGCCCAAGCAAGTAGGATGATGAGATTCCTAATTTGCTGAGCTTTTTTCCTGCCTATATGTGTATTTCACTCTTTCTCCAGTGAACCTCGATTGACGTTTGATAGGAAGAGATACATGTCTGGGATTCAGGGGAAGCCCTAAGTGACCTATAAGGTTCATGTACGCCATGCACTTGAATTTAAAATGCAAGTCAGCCGTTTGGTGGAGTAGAGGCGATAGGACAGCAAGGGAAGTGGACAAGGAGCTAAGGGTGCCAAGGGCACGGGTGGCACATCACGGCTGAAGGCAGAATCTGTCCTGGAGGAGGAGCAGAAGAGGCTAAAGAAGCAGGAGGAAGGTCTGATGAGGCCCCAAGAGCATCACACAGGACTTACATTCTGCAGCTCCATAGACCCCCATGGTAGGAGCAGCAGACACGGTGCACGAGCACCTACCCAAAGGAAGCAGACAGGATGCTGTCACCTCTTAGACCCCCCAACCTCCTGGGAGAATGCTACCAGCCAGCCGCAGCCACAGTCCTCACACCCTTGACCTGAACCACGCACCGTGCGAGTACGCAACGCTTCACACAGACTTGACTGCTCTTGCAAAAAAAATTGACATTTTCTTTTCATTTATTTCAGGCATATTTAACAGCTGGTGACCTAGATTAAGAAATAATTTACTATGTGAAAGGCAGATCATAACACTAAGTTCCCTTCACAGATGGAAAGTGAATTCAGCACCAAGCTCCAGAACAAAGATTCAAGGAATTAATCAGGTTGGGGTAGAGGGGGGTAACTAGGAACGGGTGAAATAGCCTTTAGAAAACAATGGCAACGATGCAGCCCCAACCCCAGAGCCAGCAAATAGCCCTGGTTACTTTCCAGACAAGCAGTCAGGGACAGAAAGGGGCCAGAAGCCTTGTTTTTCAGCAGCTGCCTGACAGAGCAGCAGGAGGAGGATCCCAGAGTTCAGGATGAGCTGGGGGATATTAAAAGAAATTCAATCCTCTTACTGCACTGAGAGCGTACAGCAGGCGAGCAGGGTGGGACTGGTGGCTGCCACCAAGTCTCCGGGCTGTGGCCTGGCCAAGGGATCCAGGTCCTTTCTACTGAGTACCCCCAGGGCAGCCTGAACTGGAGGTGGCCTGAGGTGGAGTCTAAAGAGCGACCCAGTCCCCCATCATTGTGAACCACACTGCACATCTGACAGGAATACAGGAACACGCCAACACATCCTGCACGTATGCCAGGCACAGCAACTGCCACCACGTGCAAGAGAACACAGTTCAACACTAGTGACCATGGGGCTCATCCAGCCGCTGTTCATTTCAAGTGCAATGCTCCAGTTACAGTGCACATGTCCTTTGCTTGGGACATGAAGGAAGACCTTCACGTTGTCACAGACAGCAAGCACCAGGAAAGCCAGGCCGGCCCAGAGCCTCACAGTACCCTCCAAGGGCTCTGGCTATAGACCTAGGTTTCCACTGTGCATGTCCTTAGGGGAAAAAAAAAAAAATAAATGATCACGGCCACTTTACTGAGGGGCTGGCAAAAATACAAAGACCCCAAACCATGCACTTTAAAAAAAAAAAAAAAATGCAACTCTTGTGCAGCAGTGTGGTTCGGGTCATCTTTTTTTTTTTTTTTTTTTTTTTTTTTTTGACCTTCCAGAAAAGGACACTGACATCAGAAAGGACAAAAAGAAACAGGTAAAGGAAAAAAAAATAATTAAATAAATAAACAGTGTGCATTCTGTTTTGAACTCCAGGACTCTCAGAACAGCGTGGATTAAAGGTGCTGGCTATTTGTGATCTAGTTTTATTGGTCCAAACTGAAATTGTGAGGGTGAGTCTTCGGCTAAACTGTCTCTATCTCTAAAATAGCCACAAGACCCCCTCTGGGGGAAAGGCTGCCGCAATCTCCCGCCCAGAGGTGCGGCCCAAACCCCTAACAGCCGCCTGCGTGAGCTGGTGCTGGGAGGATGCTGAGGCAGGAAGATGCGGACGCGGGGAGATGGAGGAGCGGAGAGAGGCCGGCGGGGAGATGCGGGTGGCGAGGGGAAGGCGCGGGAGGTGCAGGATGTGGAGCTGCAGGCGGGGGCTAGGAGAGGTGCGGGGAGATGCGGGTGGAGAGAGGTCTGGAGGTGCGGGCGGGAAGACGCAGGCGCCGGGTGGCTGCGCGGCCACCCGCTCGGCCGAGCCGCGCGTCTGGGTGCCCGCGTCCCGGGTCCTGCGCTGCCGCTGCCGCAGTGGCGGCGCGGATGGCACGGCGTCCCCACATCCTCGCGCCCCAGCCCCGGCCCGGCCCGGCCCGGCCCCGGCCCGTCGCTGACCTTCTCCTGCGCGCGGTTGAGCCGCTTCTGCACGTTCTTGGCGAAGATGCCGGTCTTGATGTCAGCCATGGCTGCGGTCGGAGCGGAGCGCGGAGCGCGGAGCGGCGCGCGGCGGGGCCGGCGGCGGTGGAGGAGGAGCAGCCGGCGGGGAGGGGCTGCCGGGCCGCTTAAAGCGACAGAGCGGAGGCGGGGACGCCCGGGGCGGGGACAAGAGACTGAGGGGCAGAGCCGAGCTGCTGGCGCTGCCTGCAATCCCAGCGCTCTGGGAGGCTGGGGCAGGAGGATCACGGATTTGACTCCAGCCTGGGCGGTTTAGTGACTTGGAGAGACTTGGTCTCAGAATAAGAAATAGAGAGGACTGGAGATGGAGCTAAGTGCGAAGACCCTGGGTTCAGCCCCCAATAGCCATGGATGAATGAAGCCTGGCAGTGTCCACAGGGAAGGCGAACAAGGCACCCAGCATCCCCAGGGCCCGCGGGCCGCTCTGGGTTTGTTTGAATGCGGAGTCCGCGTCGGGGCAGACCCAGGGGTTCCCGATTCTTTTTAGATAAAAAAAAGGAAGGAGGAGAGGGAAGCGCCCCCCAGGGCTGTGGAGCCCAGTGCACGCAGAGCTGCTCCGAAGGCTGGTTTCCCACCCTGCCAGCTGGCCCAGCCTAGAGCAGCCCTCTCCGCCCTGAGTCCCGTTGCCTAAAGAAGGCAAGCCCGCTCCTCACTGTAGGGCCGCGGAGATACAGCAAGCCAGGGTCAGCCCCTTGCCGTCTGCTTACGGTTAAACAAGGGTCGGACTGTGGAAGGAAGGGTCAGCTCCTGCAGCAAGCGCTGCTCTTGGTCCCTCTGCAGTTCCTACACAGCAGAGGCGCAGAAGCCAGTGCAGAGCCCGCAAGTCCTGACAGCCTTGGGCCAGCCCAGGCCCTTCCACCCCTAATGGTTGACAAAGCCCCAAGCAGTCTCTGTGTGCCTGGCAAAAGTAGCGGTGCCAGGCATGAGCCTCTCACACCTACGCAGAGCCCTCGGAGGCGCTGACCAAGGACACACTCCGCATATTTAGCTGTCCTGTCCGCGTGAGGAGGGGCAGGCAGGAAACAGGAGTCAGAAGGGCACCAGCCCCTGAGACCAGGAGTTCCAGTGAGTACCCCTCTGTTCTTCTGAGAGACGCTGCTACCCTGGCAGCCTCCACATCACTCCTGGTTAGCGACTCTGATTCTAGAATGATGTGTTGGCCACTAGGACATTGCAGAAACACAGGTGCCTGTTACAGGGCCTCAGCCTTGAGAAGTCAAGCCAGGTTGCACTCACCCTGGGGAGCTCTGTACCATTTATAGTCACTTTTTTGTTTAAAAAAAAAATTAGGGAGTCCTGAACAAAAAATTAGAATGTATTGATCATCCAGTTTCCAGAATTCCAAATAGAAACCAGGAGAAACTTCATTATTTCCCTTGATTAACATACCTTGGAAAAGACTTTGCTTGGAAACCAGGAATTTGGGTTAACTCCCTCCCCTTTGGGAGATGTCAGAACCTTAGCTGTGCCTTGGAATCTAGACCTGAAGGATGTAGACCTCAGGATGCTAGAATATACCAGAATGTTCTGGAACTTATCAGTTCTTGATCACTCATGATAAGATACCCAGAGTCCTCTTTGTGTTGGCACTGGGCTGATTATAGCCAGGAACAGAAGTTCCAAGATTTATTTTTCCTCTGCTTCCACGGAGCCTGTCACCTCAGTCCTCAACAGTTATCCCCTCCCCCACATTTGTGGAACTCAACAAACATCTTTTTTTTTTTAATGTGTTTTATACAGGGTCTCACTATGCAGCTTGGACTCATAGCAATCCTCCTGTTTTCAGCCTCCCAGTGCTGGGATTACAGGTATGTGCTACCATAGCTGGACTTGGTCCCTGACTCAGTGCCCCAGGAGTGGGGCCAGCATGGCATGCAGTACCGAGGATTGAACACTGGTCCCTGAGCTTGTCTAAGCAGGTGCTTAGTCCATGGAGCTATCTCACTAGCCCAGCAAATATCTCTTGAAGTAAAACTGGAAATGATTTATTACTTAGAAGAACAGATCAGGTCTAGAATGTGGGTGAAAACAGGAGTTATATCATTTCTTGATAATTCTATTTGAAAGGTGTATCAAGCACATTGGGAAGATGTTATGTGCAAATCATTATCAAATCATTTCATTCCAACTAAGAGGTAAATTAGTGTCCATTTTCAGGTTGCCAGATGGCTCATTCTAGCCACTCTGGAATATTGACTAAGTTGATACTTTGTAGGTGTTCTGCAAATGTTTGTTGGAAATGCAAGCAGGCATGAGATGAGCTCGTGAGCACCACCATACTCTGCATGAGATAGGTTTCATCAATACTTCCCCTTGACTCTGGAAAACCCTAGGCCTGGCCTGCTGGAGCTCTATAGATGCTAACAGAATGGATGAATCTAACTTGCCAAGCATGATGAAGCAGGTGGAAAAGAGACCCCTGCAACATGTGCCCAAGTGGAGCTTGCTTGTGAGATCTTCATTTCTTCTCATAATTCTGCAATAGTGCTGCAGAATGTGGGTGCAGGAGTTGAGGTGGGGGCGATCATAATGATTTTAAATATTTTTTATCCCACACCATATCATCTTTTTTCATGTGAAATCCTATGTAGGACCTAAATGTATTAATCATATGAGTGGCTGTGCTTGCAGTACTTGCTGCCCAGCTCTTAGGCCCCTCCTTGGCCTCATGGGTATCCCTAAGAGATAAGATATCCCTAAGCCATAGAACCCCTTGCCTGAGGTGGAGTATGAGAGGAGCTCTGTGGACTTGCCCAACTCCAGAGATAGGGCTGTGTTTTGTGTACACTTCCCCAACATCACTGGCCGTGTCTGCCATTCTTTAATTACTTGTATTTCTTCACTATTCAATATTTTTCTCCTTAGTCCAAGGAAAATGGGGTCCATTTAATCCATATATCTTACTAAGAGCCACAATTCTCTCTGATTTCTATAAGAAGCCTAGAGGGCACATGATACTCAATAGAACTCAGGCAGACATCAATAAAAACATCACAACTCTAGCCCTAGATTGTCATCCAAGCAAAGCAGAGCTTCTGAATCAATTTTTAGTTCTGATTCATCTTGCTTCTTTCTAAAACATATTTTGAATTGGTTGATGAGTCAAAATGTAAATTAAGACAGGTTTTGATAATGACTGAAATAGGCCCAAAATTACTATTGTGTTATCACATGTTTTAATGGTGTAGATATTTAGCTTCTCCTCTTTATATCCATTCAGTCCAACTTAGGCCTGTAGGGAAAGAGATGCCCAGATCTCTTCTAATATATCTAGCTTTTTCTAAAGCTTATAAGTGTTGGGCTAGGTGTGGTGGCACAAATCTATAATCCCAGCACTTGGAAGATCATTGTAAATTCAAGGTCAGTCTGAACTGCGTAGTAAAACCCTGTCTCAAAAAGAAAAAAAAAAAATTATAAGGCTATTTATAGTTTGTCTCTAGGTGTCCCCCCAAAGCCTCAGGCAGTCATAGGACAGACTTCTAGAGTTTGTGATCAACTCATGATCCACTGCAGGGATTATGGATAATCCAAGGCTGGGAATACAGGTCTGAGTACTTCTGGGATTATAGGTGTGAGTGCTATACCCAGCCTGAGGCAGCATAAGAGAGACAGAGAAACAGACTTTCTCTAGTCGCCATTGTTGCTGCCACTCCTCCATTTTGCTCTCTGCTCTCTGCCTCCACCATGAAAAAAGGAGGCATGTCTGCCCTGTGCTGCTCTGCCTTGGAGCCAGCTGAGTGTGGACTGAAACCTCCAGTAACAATGAGCTAAATAAACCCCTCCTTCCTTCTTTTTGAGTGTTGGCTATTTGTCCCAGCAACAAAAGAAGAGTAACCCAAGATAAGGGTTATAATACCGCACCATACATACTGTAATTTATATATCAAAACATATTGTAATTAATTACAACTGCTTCCAAATTGAGTTCTTTATGTTATTCATTATAAAATCAAGGAGATATTCCATTGAAACATTTGGTTGAGCTTAACTGGAATTTTAGCTTCAAATTATGACTACTTCTTATACTTACCTGTTTGGAAACTCAAATTCTATGTTTCCCCCAAATGTTACCATGGTAGTAAAATTAAGGTGCTGTATAATATAATAATTTGGCAATCTTACACATTTCAGATGAAATGTGTTCAGCACTAACTCAAAGTCAACTGTTCAAATTAGGGCAATCATCTACAATGTAGTTCCACTTGCTTTTGCAAAATTTTTCTTACATGAGAACACTTTCTCATTTTTAACTTAACTAAGTGTCATAGTTATTCTTTTTGTTGGTGAGACCAAAATATCCAACACCCAAGTTAAAGGAGTGAAGGTTTACTTGGCTCAGAGCTCACAGAGGTTTCAGTCCAGAGTTGGCTGGTTCCAAGGCAGGGTGGAATGACAGAGGGGCATCATAGAGGAGAAACAGCCCATGGCAGGGCAGGCAGGAGGCATTGAGCATCAGATCCAAGATGAAGGCAATGACTGGTACTCCCCAAAGAAGCAGAAGCAGATCCATCCCTCTTCAGTTCTCTTTATGCCATGTAGGCAACAAACCACCCTAGTCTTTCAAACTGGAAGGCGTGGAATTGCTGAGCCAATTTAGTTAAGTTTCTCTTACTCAAGTAGACACAATCAATCAACCATTACACCAAGCCTAAAAGTAACAACTTCCTAGCTACATTAATAATGTATTACTAATATATCCCAAAATGCTAAGAGGCAAGAGTTTTGTTTTACACAGAACTATCTTCCACTAAAGGAAACAGTGCCACTATTAAATTGCCTAATAACATTAATATATTGAAATACTGTGCTTGATGATTTTATGCAAAATAGATTAAAAATAGTTTTGCTACTCTCCCAATAAATTAATTGAACCTCACTTACTAACTTCTAAGCCAACGGAGAGGTCAGATAATGAAATAAAATATAAATTCTAACTAACCACAATTCTTTCTGAAAATAGAAAAGTTCCTACAAATATTGTATACTATTTTCCATGTACAAATAAATCATAAAAAGCCACATGTGATGCAG